GATTACAGCTGCATGAGTAGAAAAAGGGTGGAATGAGAAAGGTGTTTAGAGGTAGAAACAGTAAGACTTGACAACTGATTTCATATGTGATATGGAGAGGGAAAGTGAGGAATTGAGCATAAAACCATGGTACAAACTTGGAATACTGGGAAAATGATGATGCTTTCAAAAGATATGGGAAAGTTTGAAAGAGCTATGGGTCTGAGGATATAGATAATGAGATATTTTGGACATGCTGAGTTTGAGATATCTCCAGGAAATGTAGTTTGAAATGTCCAACAGTAAGATGGTAATGTAAGACCAAACCTTGGAGGAGAGATTGTGGCTGACTATATCAGCATGGAAACATCTATATGAAAATGATAATTAAACCCAGGGAAGCTTATAAAGTGAGAGGGAAGGCGGGGGGACAGAAACAGACAGAGCAGGGGACCAGGAAAAAGCTTTGGGGAACACGCGCAATTACAAGGCATGATATGCAGGATAAGTCAACAGTAAAGCCTGAGAAGAGTGCTCAGATATGTGGGTGGACAGCCAGGAGAAAATAACATGGAAGGACACAAAGCCTTCCTACTACAGAAATGTTAGGAATGCATTTTTAAAGCATCCTAATCTTAAGCCCTTTGACAAATCAGAAAGAGAAACTTTACCAGTATTTTTAAAAAATACCAATTGCCTTGCTCTCCTCCCCAATCAACTCAGGAAGGTCTCCTCTCTGGAAGAAATTAGTGGTGTCAGAACAGGGCAAGGGGCCCTTGAATGATCTACCTTGACTGTATCAGGGTAATGAGCAGAAGTAAAATCTCTGTTTGATCACTTCAGTTAACGGAAGTTAGGGCAGTACTGACCAGCTGGAAAAGAAAAACCTTGAAGAGCTGAATCATTTCAGGAAAAGTATTCTCCAAGAGAGAGCAAAATGTTAAGTTACTGCAGTTCTGTTTAATGAAACAAACCAGTAACTGAACTGTTACCTGAACTCCGGATCGTTGCTCAGTCCTGACTGTACAATAGTCTTTGTTCAAGAACTGAACTATAAATGATTACTTCATAATGTCATGTGATGGAGAAATGTCTTAGTGTATAAGGAGACTGTCATTTTAAGCATTCTTCCCTCTACACTATTACAATAACCTGTAATTTTCTTCTGACAGGATTATAATTTTTTTTCTTTTAACAGTGGTGTCACAAAAATCCAGAGAGGAAAGAATATTCAGTACATTGTATATATTAGGCCCCTAATAATGGCAGATGGATAAATTTCTTTCCTAATTCAACATCACTTGGTTTTATATCACCAGCTATAATTAGAAGAATAATATAGTAAATGAACAAGCTGCATGTAAGGATACCATATTTTATAGTGTATCTGAAATGTAAATGTCGATGTAAACTTTTCAAATCTAAATGTCAAATTTCACCTTTTAAAATAATATTTTCCTTATTTAAAAAATGAGCAATCAGAAGAACACAGAGATCGACATAATGAAATGCAGCAAAGAAATCAAGGAGAATGAAGATTTAGGGGGGGAAAAATCAAACCATCCAATATGACAATTTCAAGATCACTGATAAACTTAGAGTAGTTACAATATAAGTTCAGATTAGAAAAGGTTGTGGAGTGAAAACAGAGAAAATAGAGGCAAGGAATGTAGACTTTTTTTTCCCTAAAAGTGTGGCTGTGAGAAAGGGAGGAGAGATAGAGGATAACTAGAAGAGATGCGAAGTTTAGGAAAGGTTTTTTAAGCCTAGGGGAGACAAGTAAATGTGAAAGCAGAAGAGAAGGAATCAGCAGACCGAAGACACTGAATAGTAGAGGAAGAGGGTATGATTGAGGGGATAATCTGATGAAGAAGACAGGAATAGATAGAATCAAAGCCACATAAAGAGGGATTGGCCTTGTCAAGAGTAAGGGCCACTTCAATATCAGAAAATGGAGAAAGGGTATAAAGAGGAGTGGATTATGTGAAAGGGTTCTGAGATCAAGAGAAAGGGGGAAGATGGAGCTCAAGGAGAATAGTCTCCATTTTCTCAGTAAAGTAGGAGGTGGGAGAGTAGAAGAAGCACAAGTCACCCAGTATCTGACAAGCCCTATCCTCTGAAAGGTCCTACCCTACCAAAGTAGGAGCTTTAAGGGGAAAAGAGAAGATTTAAAATAGCTTCAGCAGGGAGTGATAGGAAATTAATTAGTAAAGAATAAAAGGATTGCCTTGGCTCAGAGAGAGCCCAGATGACATTTTTATCATGTATGCAGTCAATAGACTTGAATGACTTCTTCCAGTTCTGTACAGGTTAGCAAAAGCAGAGGGATGGATGATGATGGTAATTCAGCAAAAGGACAAACAAGAGGGCAAGGAATTCACAAGTACAAAACAATGTGAACCCCAACCAACACGGGACTTCAGCTGGCATAAGACTATGACCACAGTCTCCAGTCAGCTAAGAGGAGAAAGAACAAAGGCCAAACTGCCCTATCCTAGTTTCATCTTGAAAAACAGGAGACAAAAAGAGTTAGGTTCCATACCCCTGGTATACTCTTTATGTGACCTTGGGCAAGTCATTGTATCTCTCTGGGATTCAAAGCTTTATTATCTGTAAAATGGAAATAAAAATATCTGCTCCACCTACCTCAAAGGATTTCTATGAGGTTCAAGTGATAGTACATTCAAAAAAGCCTTTTGCAACCTACAAAATGGAATTCAAATGGAAGATTTTTTCCTAAGTATGGTTGAGATTACATCAAGAAATTGATCACAAAAATTGTAGATACACATGTGAAAATGAACATATCTAATTCTGTGCAACATACAAAAGAGCTTGAGAACTGGTGCAGCTTCCTATTTAACAAGTTTCTTTAGTAAATATCTCATGACAAAACAAACAGAAGTCTGAAATTATGCTACCTGTCTTCTAGAAGTTTGAAAGTAAAGTCCTTTAATGATAATTTCAAAGAGGATGCAAAAGAAGAATCAAATTATCTATCATTACACATACTTAATATGATTAAATATTAGGTTAAAATTAATTTGGATCCAGCTATTAATAAATTAAAGGATGAATTTGAGATTAGCTCTCTCTGGAGAGAGAAGGAAAAGCAAATGTGGCTAGCTCATTCTATATTCCTGGCAGAAAGACTGCATTTACTGTTTCTGGAAATATAAAATGTGAAGTCACAATTTAAAAAAAAATTCTTGTTATAAAGGAAACTTTTCCAACAGGTGATGAAAGTTTTAAATGTCGTAAGTCTAGAAACCAGTTTAGGATGTCAAATCAATAACATCAGATAAGAATAGAATTTGCTAAAAAGAACTGAAAAGATTCTCTGAAAAGAAGAGATTTCCTCCCACCCCACCCCCATCCCCACCATTCATCATTCTGGTTGAGTTCAGTAAACCATGTTAAAATTCTCTCTGCCTCTCTCTCTCTCTCTCAGCATCCATCTGCCTATTTATCTCTCAATCTATCTTCTTTATTAGAAATATTCATGTGAGCAAAAGCATAAATTACACTATTTATTTGCTGTTTGATTTGTTTTGTGAACCCATCACTGAAGTCTCTGAATATGATTACTAAAATGTGATAATGAAGTGAGTCACATGGAATAAGAATATTCATGTATGAAATAAGGAAAGATTTTTTAAAAACAAGGCAGAAAAGACTGAAGGAACAAATTAGCAAATATATGTTGAAACCAGTGATATAAGACTTAGTCAAATTTCTCTTTTCTCCACAAAAAAAAAGAAACTAACACTGAAGATTATTCTTGCTTTAAAAGGGGGATGAATGGAGCAGGTAGGTGGCATAGTGGATAGACCACCAGCCCTGGAGTCAGGAGGACCTGAGTTCAAATCTGGCTTCAGAGACATAACACTTACTAGCTATGTGACCCTGGGCAAGTCACTTAACCCCACTGTCTAGACAAAAAAAAAGGGGGGGATGGGGATGAAGCAGTTAATGTACAATGCCTGAGACATAACAGGCCCTGGGACCCTGAGCTTTGATAAGTGAACTTCTAACTTACCTTGCTCAGAACTGGGCCACTATTGCCACTTCCTGACCATTTTCAAACCATGTCACTATAGGCATACTTGTCATACTCCTCTCCTTCCAACTTTTGCTTCCCTTTGTATGCTATCTTCCCTTAACAGAATATAAACTTTTGGAGGACAGACAAGTCTTATTTGATTTATTTTAATATCTCTAGCACTTACCTTAGTGCCTGGCACAAAATAAGTCTTTAATAAATGCTTTTTCAATGGGTGATTCATGAACAAGTGCTTGTTGACCGGTTTTTTACTCATAATACATGGATGTGATGTACACACATTGGTGTGTATTTTAAAATATTCAGTTATGAAATCATGGATCTAGAACTGGAAGGGACAGTAGCAGCTGTCTGGTTTCAGCTGGTCATTTTATCTTATAAATGTGGAAAGTGAACCTCAAGGTCACACAGGAAGTAGAGGAAACAGGATTTCAGCTCAGTACTTTGACTCAAAATCGAATATTTCCTCCACTACACCTCTTCTCTTCAAGAAAACAAAACAAAAAGGATACAATTTTTTGAAAATGACAAATAAAACAACAAGAAATTGTATATCAGTAATTGACAGAGATAAAAAAGCATGAAATGCCAATTTAATAATTCTCATACTGATTCTTATTAGTTCATTAACCAAAGTTAAATAGTTATACAACACAGACAAGCAGGAATCTCCTTCCATTTTACAGGGGTCTTCCCTAGAAAATATCTAACCACCTCCAATTTCCCTTATAGGATTATAAGAATGAGTCTAGAACTACAACATGCAACATACAAAAGATTTTTCACACATTTACTCATTGCTAGAGGTGGAGGAGGTCTTGGAGATCATTTAGTTCATTATCTTCCCTCATGAAAAATACATGTCACTTCCAATGCTGTCCTGTTTGTTTTTTCTATTGTTTTCTGTGAAATTAAAAAAATATTTCAATGACCCCTTCTCTTCTTTCTTTTCCTTTAGTCAACCCAACTGCTAGTCCCCCAACCCTTGTTACCCACCTCCCCAAGCAGAAAAAGAAAAAGAAAGCATCAAGCAAAACAAATTTCTACATTGGCTATGTCTGAAAATACATGCCTCATTATGCACCTTAAGTCAATCAGCTCTCTGTCAAGAGGTAAGTAGAAGGCTTTATCATCAGTCCTTTGGAGTCGTGATGAGACATTGCATTAATCAGAGTTCTTAAGTGTTTTGAAGTTCTTTTATTTTAACAATGTCATTATTGTATAAATTGTTATCCTGGTTCTAGGCACTCTACTGTATATCAGTTCATATAAATCTTCCAAGGTTTCTCTAAAACTACTTCTTTCATCATGTCTTACAGCATAAAAACATTCCATTATATTAATATACTATAATTTGTCCAGCCATTCCCCACTTGATGGGTACCATCATAGTCTCTAGTCCTTTGACATTACAAAAAAGAGCTTCTATAAATATTTTTATGTGGGTCCCTTTCCACTTTCTTTGATCTTTTTGGAGGTGTGGACCTAGTAGTGATATCACTAGGTTAAAGAATATGCACAGTTTAATGAATTAGGGGACATAGTTTCACTTTGCTTTTCAGAATGGATGGACCAATTCACAGCTCCAGCAACAATGCATGTGTGTGCCTGATTATTCAGGAGGAATATGAACCCAGGTCTTCCTGACTCCAAGTCCAGAATTCTATCCACTCTGCTACATAGGCACCTCTGTCACAGCTCTCCCAAACCTACCTCTTCCCCACAGTTGCAATCACATTCTCAGTAAAAGCGAGGCCTGGAGCAGGCAGACAACTGCATAAATATCATCTATTCACTATAGTCATTCATTTTATTCACTGATGAACTCCCCATGAAGCCACACACCACCTCCAGTGAGAAAACAAATTCCTTGTCAAAACTGTAATCAATTCTCCCCCTCTGCAATCAACTCCCCACCTTTCTTTTTTCTCTAATCCTACTTTCCTCTAATCCCACTTACCAACTTTCATTTCATGTAACCAGGATAAAAGAGAAATTAATTAAAAAAAAATCAGAAGTAATAAAGCATTTAAACATGCACTCACTGAGGGCTAGACATGGCAATCACACAGAGAACACTTGGCCCTTTCCCTCTCTGTGGCACAGCTATGACCAGGGATTTTCCAAACCTATTCCAGTACAAGTTCCGCAAGGGATTCCCAGGCTAAAAAGGCTTGTTAAAAGCTGGCCATGTATATCAACCAAGCTAGACATAATAGAAACAGGCTGCAATGTAGGAAAAATACTGTTTGTGTGACTTTGGACAAGACACTTAATATCTATGGACCTCGGTTTCCTCATCTGAGGGGTGGGTTGATGGACTAGATGAACTCTAAGATATCTTTCAGTTCTAAATCTCTACTCTTGCAATCCCATGAAATGACCATTCAGTCAGTAATTCAACTAGCATTTCTTAAATGCCTACTATGTGCCAGGCACGTACTGAGCACTGTATGACTGATTTTATGTATAACTGTACGTATCACTTTATGACTGAGAAAGACAAAAGACAGTCTCTGCCCTCAAAGAGCTCATTGTCTAATGGGGGAGAAAACATGCAAACAAATACACACAAACAAAATATAGAGAAGATAAATTAGAGGTAATTTCAGAGGGAAGGTAGTAATAATTAAAGGGGACCAGAAGAGGCTTCTTGAAAAAGGTGGGATTTTAGTTACAACTTAAAGAAAGCCAGGGAAGTGATGAGGTGTGAGAGAATTCTAAGAACGGAAAATAAGCAATGCAAAGTGCCCAGAGCCTGGAGATGGACCCACAATGAGAGACAACTTGGAACAGTAAACAGAATGCTGAACTTAGAGTCAAGATGACATGGATTTCAATTCTGGCTCATGCATTTACTTAGGTATGTGTTTCTGAGCAAATCACTTACTCTCTGGCCCACAGTATCTTCATCTACAAACAACAATGAATATCCTGACCTCTAAGCTCCCTTCCCTCACTACATCTGTGATCCTGTGAATACGATCCTGGAACAGTATACCCAGCAGGAATTGGGTGTTTAACAACAGGCTCTCCAGGGGAGAAATAAAATTGTTAACTTTATTTGAATTATTTATCTCATTACTATTATTATTGATTTTTATTTATATATTATATATTTATCACATAAATATATTATAGTTATATATTATAACATAATAACATTGTTATTTTATTATTTAAAATATTTGCATTATTAACATTTTCTCCATTACTTTTTCAAGTCTATATAAACAACAAAACAATAAATCAAACTCTGTGGCATTTACCAATTTCCACCATGAAAATGTTCATATTCAAAATTTAACAATCAATTGTCAAGCTGGCAACAGTATTCCTCTGGACTTTACTCAAAAGGAATAGGACAGGTAAAACCAGAAATATGGTAGCAATATATATTCATACAGTCATATGATATATGATGTGGGGGTAGCAGAAAGCATCTAATTAACAAAGATGGATAGAGAAGTGATGTTTTTGTATAGCACAAAGCACCTGAACCAAAAGAGGGACTAGATGAGAAGATAAGAAAACTAACAAGCCTAGTCTGATGGTAAGATTTTCTCAAAAAAAAAATTATGAGATGTGAAAATTTAGAGACATCTCCCTCCCAAACGATCATATGGATTATTTGTGCCCAACCTGTTGTAGAGCCTTCCAAGCTTGTTTTGATCATGACACACTGTACACTGATCTCGACATTGTGATGTCATTTGGGTCCTCTTTGAGCACAAAGGACAAACAACAATGGTAGTGATGATGGGAGAGGCTTCATTTACACAAATATCTTCTGGAATATTCCCTCTCAAAAGCAGTGCAGCTAAAATTTCTTAGAATGTCGTGATGATAATTTTATCTTTTGAGGAGCACAGGAAAGGAACAAAGGTACCTGCTCTTCTGGACTGGATTCTCACCAATAAAGGAAGTAGAAATAATGGGAAACTTAGGGGGAAGTAATAACCACTCCATCCTAGAATTTATGACTGAGAAAGGAAAACTCAGACATAATCTGCATATACCCTAGATTTGGGAATAGTAAGTAAAAGAATAAGTAAGATCACATGGACTAATGCAATTCTACAGGCATTTTCAGGAGGGATGGGAAGCTCTGAAGAATAAAATTCTTTTTTTTTTTAAGGCAGTTGGGGTTAAGTGACATGCGCAGGATCACACAGCTAGGAAGTGTCAAGGGTTTGGTCTGAGGACGAATTTGAACTCAGGTCCTCCTAACTTCAGGGCCAGTGCACTATCCACTGCACCACCTAGCTGCCCCAAGAATGAAATTCTAAAGGAGTAATTCCAATAAGGAGGAGTTGTTGAAAGTCGTTGAGAGAATGTACAGGGAGCACATTGACCAACTTGGCTTTCTAGAAGACATGTACTGAAGATATAAGCAAGAACAGGTAAGAGAGGTATATACAAACAAGTTACAGTCCTGTAAGAACATTGGTAGCTAAAGCTCAGAATGAGCCAAAGCTAATGAGAAAAGTTAAGAGCAACAAAGAGCCTTTTTAAAAGCTAAACTGGGGGGGGGGGAATTGAATAAGGCTCACTGCCTGGATGGCAATAACAGGTGATGGAAAAAGTGAAGAGATGGCCAACTTTCAATTTACTTATGTTTTCTCTACAAATAAGTGAAGTTGAAACCCAAGACAAGCAGGCAGAGGATCACAGCACTTTTCAGTTACCCAGACAAACAACATCTCATGGTATTGAATGAACTGGCAGATAAGACTTCTAAGGCAAGTGTCGGTGATCTCTGAAAGTTCATAGAGAATGGGAGAGATGTAGCAGAACTGGAAAATGATAAACATCACTTTGATTTTCTAAAAAGGGAAGAGAATGGAGTCGGAAAAACCATCAGCCAATGAACTTGACAATTCTAGACTAGAGCAAGTCACTTTGCCTCCTTGAACATTAGTTTCTCTGTAAAAAATGAAACGGTTGGGTTAACTCATCCTGAGATCTGTTCCATCTCTAGATCCATGATTTCCAACCACCAGACAACATGATGAGTCTGTTGCTGGTTGCATGTTTCCAGCATGGATCCACACTAACTTCTCAACAGTGTACGCTGGATTTTTCAGTCCTTCAGTATTTTCTAGGCACTAGAACACAATGTAAAGAAGGTGCCACAAGTCCAGGGTTTCCTATCACACGCCAGCAGTGTCCAGTAATGGGCTGTCACTATGCTCACTAGAGCCTTTTGCAATCAGGTACCGCTCCTCCAAGGCAAGCCATGCTCCCTTTCCCAGAGAACAGATGTAGCCAGCGGGTGTGATTAATGTCTCTGCTCAGAGTACAGGACTAATTTTAACAGCTGTCAGCAATTTTCCATGAAATGAGTAGTACCTATTCTTCACACCCTCTGTTCACTTCTCTTAGAAGGATGATGCTAATGAAACCTTACTTTCTCTCTATAAGCGGAGCTCGCTACAGGAAGAAGTAGGGGTAGGGTTGGATAGGAGAGTGGCAAAATAATCTGACAAAGCTATCTGAGGATTGTTTAAATAAAAATGTCCACAGTTTGTGCCACATTCATTTCTGAATATAAAAAAGAAAGAAAAGCAAGACTTACACTTAACATGATTTACCACTCCTAGCCAACCACTATATGTCACTCAAATGAATATTCATACAGCAACTACAATGGCTCTTTCAGAATATCAAGCTTAAGAGGTAAGTCATTAAAAGGCTTGTCATCAGGGCTCAACGATGCCGCTGGCAACATTAAATTATTAGATCTCTGTCTACAGCCAAAAGTGCTAATCCCAACATAAAATTAGGAAATAATTTACTGGCATGAATAATCAAAGGTCACATTTCCACCAACAGCTTCCGATTTTTGCTGGGGCACAAACTCATTTGCTACTGATAGATTAGTAGACAGATAGATAGATAGATAGATAGATAGATAGATAGATAGATAGATAGATAGATAGATAGACAGATAGATAGACAGACAGATAGATAGATAGACA